GCTCAGCCTTTGTGTGTTAGACATTTGCTGACTCCAAGAGACTGTATTTTCATTCTGACTGTCTCCAGCCTGCCTACTGGAATCCCAGTCAGCAGCGGGACAGCCTGGAACTGTCACGCACAACAGACACGCGCTGTTACTACAGCAATGTGCTAAAGAAAGGCAGAAGACAGAGAGAAGAGGCAGTGGCACTTGGTGTAGGTGGGGACGAGCGATTACTCAGCCAAGGCCCCTGGGGGATACGGGGACCGGCACTGCTCAAGAGCGCTACAGACCCTTTACAACCCGTCTCTGTCTCGCCTCCCCTCCCAAAACGTTACGGGGACGCTGTGCCCAGACACCGCCGTGATGGACATCAGCTCTGCATCCAACTCACTGCACGGTGAGGGGCAGATCCCCGGCTGGGGTAGGTCGGCAAGCCGCCAGTCGCGTCTCCGGAGCAACGCTGATGGACAGCGGCTGAGGGGCGGGCCAAAGTGGGCCCACCCATTGTCCTGGTGGCACAGAGAAGACCAGAGGTTACTGTCTTGTTCCCAGGACCCGCGAGGGACAGAGCCAGCCCAGGACGTCTGACCACAGTGCTGGCTCCAGCGGCGATTGGGTCCCATCTAATGCATGTGTCACGAGTGCCGGGCGCTCTCCCAGCAAGCAGCAGAGACGTGTCTGGCCGGAGGCAGCGCCGCAGGAAGCCGAGAGAGGCAACAGCAGCCCAGCTTGGGCTGAAAGCTGGAGCCTCACGTAAAGAGGCTGCAGAGCTGTTTCCGCAGGGGTCCCATGGCAGTGGACGGGGGGCCTGTCCACCCCCATTCGTTGCACATGACCCAGTCCCGGGCCGGCCACAGCCCTGCCTGGGACACTCTCAGCACCCTGCCACGGGAGGAGGGGGCGCGACCTAGGGCAGCAGCTTTCAAACATTTCTTCTCGTGACCCATCAGACTGCTGATGCCGCGACCCAACAGAATGGGACTGGAGGGTGGGCTCCAGGCTGGGCTGGGGAGGAGTTTGGGGGTTCCAGCTTTGGGGGGGCAGGAGGGGCTGACCTCGAGCGGCTCCCAGTTAGCCTCTCCTGACTCCTGCGGGCCAAGGCAGCTTCCTGCCTCTCCTGGCCCCGCAGACCACGCTGCCCCCAGAAGCAGCCGGCAGCAGGTTCCCAGCCAGTGGGAGTGTGGGGCTAGTGCTCAGAGCAGGGGCGGTGCACGGAGCCCTGGGCACTCCGCCCCCCCCGTCACTCAGACCTAGGAGCCGCTGGGCCTGCTGCCGGCCGCTTCCCCCACTGCCTCAGCCACACACCTCCCCCCCCGCACTGCTCACCTGATCCCCAGGCAGCAACGAGCCCCAGCGCCCGACATTCCACCCCCCAGCGCTGGGTAGTTTGAAACCGCTGATCTGCGGAGAGCAGCAGAGATGTTTCAGCAGCCTCCCACCTGGCAAGTGACTCAGAAGCTCCTCTGCTCAGAACACAACTGTGCCCTGCTGGCACGTCACTGGTGTCACCCGCTTGCACCTCCAGAGGCAAAGACCAGCCTGCAGCGATCCCTGGGGTTCCTGCCCGGAGGCTGGGACGGGGAACGAACATCCCAAGCTGACTGCACGGCCCACAGCACCATGGCCAGTCGCGCGCCCTGACAGCGCCTCACACACGGGGCTGGAGTCTCCCGAGGCCGGGGGAGGCTGCTGCTTCGGGAAGCGCGTGGGAGTTAATTTGAGATTCCTTTGCGCTGTGCACTTGGGTTTTGTTTTCGACAGCAAATCTGCACAGCAGAAATCTCGCCAAGCTTTGCACAGCCCTTATCTCTACGGCTCCCCTTTCACTGGGGATCCCCAAGCACCCGGCACCCCGCCGAGCCAGGCTCCTCCCCA